ATCCTGTTGGTTAATGTACCCAGCAACAATGATACTCTGGTTTTTAAGACAACTTTAGTTTGGCAGTAATTGTCTGTAACAACTAAGTATCAGGAATTTAACTTTGATGTTTGCCATGCACTTTAGTGCTTAAACTGCTATGAAAAGGAAGACTATTTTATTGCTACAGAAAAACATTGCAACTTTCATTCATAATAATTCAAAGTCTTACATATGGAAGTTGTTGTCTTAAACCAACATCATCTAAATACACAGTCATTACCTCTGACCCACTTGCACTACTCTAATCTCATTTGAATACAACTAAAACAATTACAATCAGAAATACACAACAAATGGTAATTGCTAGGATAGTTGTGCATCCACCAACATAGATTTGTTGCCCTTGCTTGTATTTCTTCCTCTCAGAACTTAGAGCTTTGCAGTTCACTAGCAAGTTGTCATTCTCACTTAGCTAACACCTTCTTTGCCCACTTAAATCTTCAACTTCTCTCTGCAGTGATTTGATTTCTCCCTTCATCAATTTTTTGTCAAGTAAAAGTTGATTAATGACATCCCTTTGCCAGTCAATGCCTTCTTCCTCATCCACCCACTCAAAGCACTTGCAATCCCTACTTTCTGTTTTAGGATCATAGAATTTGCAGGCTTTGAACTTCCTTCCAGGGTTCTCTCTTGTCCATGATGTCAGTCTAGCCATAGGAATCCCACAGTCACACTTCCTCTGTTTGGAGGGAGAAAACCTAATCAACGACATTCTAGCCTGCAATTCAACCAAATTTAGCAACAACTACAATGACACATTCATTATTAAACAAACATCACCATCAATTTCATCCACGAATATCCCAACTAAAAACCCCTAATTTCAATTAGGATAAGAACCCTAACTCGATTGACTGAAATTAACTACCAATTAAACCATTTGAAAATCAAATTTAGATTCTGCATCATTCCTAAACAACCGCAAATACAATTAACCAGCAATAATTTGAATGAAATTTGCAATTTCATCTTCCAATTGGTTCGCATTAAAAAAAAAAAATTGCCTTCAACAACTGTGCTCTCCTTAGCCCAAATGTACGAACGCAAATTAACATTCACACCTAAAATTCTTCGCAATTGCTTGAATTTGTCAAAATCTCCAACAAATTTCGTCTTTCATCAACTTTGGAGAAGATGGGTTCTTGAAAGAAATTACTTATACACAAGAAACTGACAAAAGAATCGTTGCAGTGGGGCCCACAAACGACAAATGTAACAGATTCTGTCAAGTGGTATCAAATTTTAAAATATATGATTTTTAGTGGTAGTAAAATAAAATAAAAAATTTGAGGGGTAGCAAAATTGAAAACCATGTGTTTTTGTGGTACGTACCAAAAGTCAATATTTCCTTTAAATTAAATTCACTAAATTTGCTTATTATCAGTGTGTTTTTCTTTTTTTGACAAATATTATCAGTGTATTTAAGATCCAAAAGCTTCCGTTCTTTTGCATAATCTATCATCTTACTACTGTAAATCCGAATTTTGATCTTTTTGAAAATTTTCCTTTGCACCCTCTTGTTCTGATTCACGATTTCTCAACTGGATTTTGCTCAATTTCTTTTTAATTAATGGAATTTTTATGGGTTTTGCTTAAATTGTTAGGGTTGGAAGTGTGAATTATTTTGAAGGATTAAATTTAAATTGAGGGTGAAGTAATTATATGGCTGAATTGGCAGACCAAGAGTGTATAGCTGCTATAATTGTCGAAATCAAGATTTTCTTCATGATGATATCATCTCCAAGGCTTTCCAGGTAAATTATCCTCAAATTTCAAACATTAATTTTAATTATATATTGCCAATTCAGTGTTGCTTGTTTGGATTATCATGTTGTATGTTTTTAATTATTGTTACTAATTATTTTTTTTAATTGACAAATGGATTGGTTTGCTTTAGTTGTTGATAAACCTTATTTAATACAAAATCTTGTAGTAGACAATTAGTTAGTAAATAAGGGGCCAATTTGCCAACTAGGGTTTGGGTTTTTTTTTTTTTTTTAATTTATTATCATTGCTATTATTACTTTTTTATCTGAGGATTTTTGATATTTTGAGTTTTGATGAATGTATTGATTTTGAGATATAATGTGGTAGTGATTGTTGTGTAAAAGTTAGGATTCAATGGAATTTGAAGTGAGTTGCCAATGTTTTCTATAATTTGTTTAGGTGAAATTTCATTGTTTGTTATCAGCCGATTAAGCTACATGTTGTTTATATGGGATTTTTATTTGTGAATTGAGTTCCGAGATTTTTAAAATGAAAATTGGATTTCTTGGGACTAATGTTTACAGAAGGACCTTTTCTGTTTTCGTTTACTACGAGTAAATAGAGATCTAAGGTTATGTATTAAGTCATCTCTTACATCTCAATGGATTTTTAAAGAAAGAGATTAGGAGCATGTGACATCCTCTATAATATTTATAATCATTCTAATCTATGGAAATAACTGAGCTATTTCCTATGGTTTTATGTTCTACAATCATCAAATTTCAATCATGAAGAAGCAATTGTTGGGGGCAAAGTTGGACTTATTAGAGACTCAATTATAGCTAGGATTATCAAGAAGTGATCTAATGTAGTAATCGACGAATCATTCTTATTAGTTTTTTCTGTTTTTTATTAAATTTTTTTAAGTGTGCTGTATGTAGTAGTTTATTGATTCTTTGAATTTCCCCTGTATACCATTTAATTATTTGTGTATAAGGCCCAATGTAGATGAATTTTAGATGTCTTTGTATTGAAAAATTATAATTTGTATATGATAATCTTCTTTTACATTGGCTATTTAAAGTAATTTTATTTCAAATGAGCCCAATGTAAAATAAGCTTAATCTTAATTTTAATATTTGAAAATTTTATTTCATCCATACTTCAAAATTCATCTACATTAGGTTTTATACTTTTTTTTAATTGTCTTCAAATCTCATATTTTAGATGGAAAATTACTTTAAGATGGCTATTCAAAATAAAATTAAGATGAAAAAAATAATTAAAAGAGCTTACTAAATAAGATAAATCAGGGGTACGGATAATTAAGATTACTAAATTATTCAAATCAAGGAAGGAAGAGGGAACAGTAAGGTGGGAGTAAGAATGATACGAATGAGGATAAGATAGGAAATAGGAGAGAGAGAGAGAAAGAGAGAGAGAGAGAGAGCGCACTCATGAAGATCTGACGTCATAGCATGATAAGCACTTAGAACTCAATATCGATGAAAACCATTTGGTTCAGCCCAACCATCTGACTTCATAGCGTGTTGAGGACATATATGTCAATCAAATATAACACATTATTTTCCTCGAGGACAAATCTTTTCATGAAAGCATGGCATAAACCAAGTCCAGCCATCTGCGCTCTAATTCTCAACAACAACAAAAGCAATTGGACATATTTTATTATCTCCATCAACATCAACAGCTATCAGTAATACTCCTTTATAGTTTCCATAAAAGTGTGTTCCATCAACACTAATTATTGGCCTACAATGCTTAAATGCATGAATTAATGGAGCAAAGTCCCAAAAAACACTTTTACACATTTTTTTTCTTAACCAGTTGCTGCCTCTTTTCTCCAAAGTATGTACTATTGTTTCAGGATTTTCTCTAACAACCTCATTCATCCATTGACGGAGAATCTTGTATGATTCATCCCAATCACCAAACACGTTACTTATAACCTTTTGTTTTGATAATCCCCTATTTTTTTCTTATTTTTGGGGGTTACTAAACGCAGCCTATATTTTCTTGACGTAACCCTTTTTTTCTTATTTTTTCAACCCTAAAAGAACTCTAAAGTATAAATTCCCTCCCCTTTCACTTCAATATAAAATTTTAATAAAATTTTAATTTTTTGTCATAACAGTACCAAATCATTTTAAAATAAATATGGTGATTGCAATTGATGATAATTTTGACTTGGAAGACTGTAAAATGGATGTAAGTGTTCTTTTGTTTCATGTAATACGAGTGAAGCAGACTAGTCTTTTTTGGCTGTAATGAACAATATTTATGTGTCAATTTCCTGCAAGTTGAACAAAATAGTATACTTCATTCCTCACTCACAAATGGAACAAAATTATATACTTTGTTTCGCACAAATTGAACAAAATCCTACATTATATTTCCCCGAACAAAACAATGTACTATATTTCACACAAATTGAACAAAATATTCTTGTTGGTTTCATATAGCAATTCCAAAATAATAGTCCATCACTACTTTTGAATAAAAAAATATTTAAAATTATTTATTGTGAAAATCAATTATTGTGCTTGTTGAATTTGTGTTTGATCTCAGTCATGGCTATGAAATATGAATATTCTCAAACTTTTGCACAACATCTATTACATGATTAAAATGATGATATTGATCCTCCAAGCTTATTTAAGATTGCTTATTAGGTTATATCACCCGCAGATTGTGAGTAATCAAAAGAAGTTGCTATGAAATTAACAGAAAAAAATTATATTAAAATCTAATTAACATAAATATGTCAAAAACTTTACCATGAAAGTTAAATCTATAGAGAAAAGAGCCCTAAGAGGAAAATGAAACCCCATGACTTGAAGAACCCTAAAACATCTCGCCCGCCATCACTTGTCTCTCTTAGCCACCATGAATTATTCAACTAGCCACTAGTACATAATTGAGTTTATGTAACACGCTTTGGTAACACTTTTTGAAATACAAAATTAATAGATTCATAAGTAATACTTTGTTAACATTTTTTTTTATAATGTAACACTTAATGTAACACTTTTAATATAATTAACATTATAAAGTAACACTTTTAAAATAGGTAACATTTTATGACAAGAGGTGTTAACTTATTTCTATACATCCCTAACTTCTAAAAGACCCAACATGGCATTACTCTATCTTACCGTGTTTGGACTATTTTACCCCTAAAAATTACATCTTTGCCCATGCTTTTTATCTTCTAGGTCCGCAAATTGATTAACTAATCTTTTTTCCTCTACTTCCTTTCACATCAATCCCTTATTTTCTCTCTCCTATTTTCGGAGGCATGTCAGGAACCTTCTCGGTTCTTTATCTCTATTACAGTTACTCGTTCGCCTCCATTTCTTCTCTCTTTCTCGGCTCTCTACTTCCAGATTAGGGGAAAATGTATTCTTGCTTCACCTATCTTAATTCATTCGCCATCCCGACAAATTTCCCCCGGCACACCTCAGGAGCAACCTGCGCCTGTACCACGAACAACTTTAGGGGGAATTTCAAAGGCAGAAAATACGCCATTTTTTAACAATCGAAAGCTGTAAGTTTTTTTTATATTTGATTTCGCCAGTTTTAAAAGTCAATATTTTCAATCTAGGGTTTATTTTTGGTGCTGATCCAAGGCAAGGGGTAACAATTTTGGGTTTCTAAAGATTAATCAAGTAATGTTTATTGTTTATCGATTAGAATTTGTTATTCATTCTGATTTCCGTAGTCGAATTTCACCCTTTTTCTTTGATTTTTCTTGTTTTTTTTACAATTCCGTATATTGTTGTTATATTCTTGGGTATATGATGGTTTTGATGAAAGTAGTTGCTGTAAATAGACGTTTATTTGAGTTGATTTATATTCTAGCTTCAATTATGTTAATATTTGATGATGTTTGTTGATGTATTTGATATGTCACTACAACATTTTTTTGTTGAATTTCAACTTTGATTTACTGAATTTTTATTCTAAAAATTAGAGAAGAATTGCTCAGATTTATATGATTATTGTTTTATATTATACAATATATTAAGAATATATGATGCTCTATATCATCATAAAGGTTTTGTTCATTGGGCCTTGTATCTTATTGAAACTGCATGCTGGTAGAATCCCTCAAGGATAAGAGTATTATTAACTGTGGCCGACATGATCAAAGGCAAGCTCCTAAGGAAGACCTTTAACCATCAACAGCCAGTAGGGCTTTGAATAAACTTCATGGATGGGGGAGTCTATTGACATCAAGATTCGCCCTTTTGTTTTGGTAAAAAACTATCTAGAAACTAATTTTAAACCTGGTCGTCCATTCAACTCATTAGCAATACTTTTATTTGTGCTATTTACAATGGAAGTAAAGCATAACTACTGAATTACTAATTTAAGTTTTTCCTATCGTTATCCTAAACATTTGTAGCGTAAGCACAAATCTCAGATGGTATGAAATTAATCTGTTGATACTGGACATCATTATTTATTATGTGCCAGAAAATGTACAACATCTATGTTGACAAATTAAGGTTCTTGTTCTGTTGACGTGCTTCCATTGTTGATAAAACATAGTAGAACGAGATGTTTAACCCTTAAAAATGTTCAGGTCCCACTCGCATATCATGAAATTCTATTTTAAAATGAATTATTCATCTGATAAAGAACCCATTTCTTTGACATTGTTTTCCTCTTTATTACATCAATTTATGACTTTTTTCTTTATTAATTTCTCTAACATTGTATTTTTTTTCTTTTCATTTTTTGTCGATTAAATTGCTTTGCATTTCACAATAGTGGTACTATCCTCATTCTTCTCTCTACATCTAAACTTGTATTACACCTGATTTATAAAGTTACTTAAGTGAATTATGTCTATTTCATTTCTAGGAAAATGGGATTCATATCAGAATGTGAAGTACTTGTGTGGACACCGTTTCCTCAAAGGTAAACTACGGGATATTGATCATGTTCTTGCTGGTTTGCCTTTTGCTCTTGGTAATTTACTTGCCATTGTTGATATTATAATTTAAAATTTAATTGTTATATATATGAATGGTTGTGCACTGTGATTGTTTGCTTTTAAACAAAATACCATTTGTTTATTATAAAACATGATTGGAGATGTGTAGATGTTTCTTAAGCTAATGATAGTCAAGTCTGGTATCTATACACACTTCATAGCAAGCACATTTTTAGGATAAATGGTTATACCAACTCATTTTTACATGTATGCCTAATAATCATTTTGAGGATCTGGTGACTTTCTTCTTTTGGACTAGAATATTCAATTATATCATCTATGAATATGGCCTTGAACACATTATTATAATTGACATTGACTATGTGTGATCAGGTGTGGGTAGTTTAGTAGACTTATGTCTTGAGTTAAATTAGGGTTTGATATGAATAAGGTCCTTTTATGCTCTCTTGCCTACCATTTTAGTATGTTTCTAAATGTTGAATTTGTCTAGTAACTGAAGAACAAGGATAACTCCTATTTGCATAGCGCACCAACTAATATTCAGGGTTCCCTTGGTTCTGTTAGCCAACTTTTTATATGCATCCGGATTCTTGTTGACTATAGCATCCAAACAGGTACAATTGTTGATGATTTTCAAATGTTTTTTAGTCGATTTATTTCCTTGGTTTGTTTTATTGGTAATTTATTTATTGGGTTTTATGATATTTGTTATTATAGACAATAGCTTCAGTCTTACCTAATTTGCAAACCCAATTAAAGAGAGAAATAGGCAATTTAAGAACCCCACCACTACAAAAACAGGCAAAGAAACCCGTCCAAATCTACGTTAGAGACCACTATTGGAAGGGTCTTTATCGTTGGAGTTTGTTTGATAATGAGACTCGTCCAAATGAAGTGGTATGTTTGAAAAAAGAAGATACTCGTTAATTCAGAGACGGGGTATGTTATGTTGATAAAATGAATTAAAACTAAATATTGAAAAAGACCCATGTTTGTTAAATGAAAAAGACCCGTCATTAGAGAAATTTGGTCTGTATGTAAAATATAAGAGACACCTAATCAAAGAAAGGGAGTCTCTACGTACGTATTTGGATTTTAAAAAACAAAATTGGTTTGGAGCGTATTTTTTTGTTATTTCGAATTTAAGTTTTAAATTTTATGCTCGATTAAAATTGGCAGAATTATAAATAAATTAAACTCAACCGATGTGAGAATTTCATAAAAAAAATAAAAATTATACGAATCATTAACGAATTAAAACTTCAATTACAAACTAATTGAAATTTACAAGTATAAACTAACTCATATCAAAATTAAAAAGTAAAGCATGGACTAATAATTTTTTTGTGGAGTTTAATATGTCGGTTTGTAATCCTCATTCCTCAAAGCTCGATAAATCCAAACTTATCATTGTAATCTATAATGTAAGTTTATTTAAATGTCTGTACATGCATACAGTGAAAAAAATGCAACCGGATTCTACAGTACATGCATACCAAATTCATCTTACAGAACATTTTTATTTCCAAGGTGTGTACATCATAAAATAAAAAGAATCACTCAATTATGAAAATAACTAAGCAAAAAAATGTAAATTAAAATGCATAATCACTTCACGCTATCAAATTGAGCCCCATTCTCACTTTTTCCCATCTTAATTAATCTTGATGTATCAATAATTCAACCAAAGAAATTCAATTAAAAAAAATTCCTAAATTCCTAAAAGGGCAAGAGAGAAAAATTAAATCATAGAATAGGGTTATTAGTGAAACAAATCACACAAATCTGGTGAAAAAACGATTTAAACTAATAATTTATTAAAGAAAATTAAAATCAAACTCTAGATTTCCTATAACCAAATTCCTCTTCACCATTAAAAGCTTAATCTAAAATTTTACTTTAACAAAAAAATTGTAATTAACCAAAAAAAAGTATGAATTTCAGTGAATGAACTAGCAATTAAATTAAAAAAAAATAATAAAATTAAAGAGTAGTTGTGCAGTCTACTGGTCGTCTGTTAAATCGGTGTTGACATAATCGATTTAGATCTAAGTCAACTCAAATTTTCTAGACTAGATGCTGCTATTGCCGGGATGACAGCAACAACCAAACCGCGTTTTCCCTTTCTTAAATGTTCGGACCTTTTCTCAAAAAATTCCGGATCTCGATTCATTTCGGGAGTTGAGGGGAAACACTCTCCAGCAAAAGTAGGTTACAATGATAAAGAAATTGAAATGTTTTTAGTTGAAATTGGTAATGTGATCGAATAATGAAGATGATTAATATATGGACTTTAAAGAAGAGGGGTGTTGATAACTAGGAAATCATCTAGAAAATGGAAGATACAAATGGCTAAGGGAGTTGAGGAAATAAAGTCTCGAAATAAAGCTATGATATACATGAATTAAAGATGGTATGTAAGAGACTTGTTTAGTCTGGAAACGAGTCTCTTATCTGTCTATTGTTTTTTCTTAAAGAAAGTACTAGACCCTTGTGCATTTTAGAGACCCATTAGGTTTAGTAACAGGTCTCTTATATCTCCTCTAATTAGGTCTTATTGCACATAAGAGACCCGTTATCTCTAATATTTAATCTCGTACATCTAACAGACCTATTGTTAAGATAATGGGTCTTTTATTAGGGGTTCTTTTTCCAGATTTTGTAGTATTGTCCATTAGTGTACGTGTTTGAACTTTTTGTGGAATTGAAAGCGGATTTAATGGCAGAAAGTTTTATGCGACTACCATGGTTGAAAATCTTCATCGTTGGCTCCACTCAGGCCTCAAGATGCAGCGAGATGTTGAAGATATGTGTGAGGGTGATTGGGTTTTTCACCAATTAATTGTAAGGATACCCAATCCTTGGTATAAACCTTCATTGAGTTTGACGAATATTATGAAGCAGTCCAGGTAAGTTCTTTATCCTCCTTTTCAATGAATTCATGGCTTCCTTTAAAATTTGTACTTGTAGTTTCACCTATTACTCACGACATAAATAAATCCTATTATAGTCTGCGGTTGATTTTTATCAATTACTCTTCTATTATAAGATTATGGTTTAATATAAAGTTTCATCCTTTCTTTAGATTTTCTTTCATGGCTTCAACTTGTGCTTCCCATATGTTTAATTATATGGGTCATTTTTCCAGGGGGTTATCCTTGGCTCCGTTTTTCATATTAAATGTCTCTTTTTGTTGGGAAAAGACTTTGTGCTCTGCATTTATATGGCTTAACTTGAGATTTGTTCATGCTGTCATTTTGTGGATGTACTATTGTTTTTGTTATTTATTGAGAAAAAGTGGTTTCACTGATAATCTCAATTTCTTGATGGACTATATTTGGTGTTCGTTCTATGGGTTATTTTTGTTTCTAATCTTGTGTTACATGAAAAGCTATTGTCTCCTTATTCATAGTAGTTACACTATGTCCATGAAGTTTTGTATCCTTGTTTATTGGGATATGTTTACTCTTGGTTTTTGCTACTACCTTACGCATCTTTTAGCTAGTTATAGTCCATTGCATAGTTTATGTGAAATTCCTACTGAAAATCCTTTTATCTATTGTTGTATTAGAGAATTATATTACACATGTGGGTGGATTTGTCTTTGTTCTCGTACCTCCTTAATTTTAAGTCAGTGCTTTTGTTTGTACTTGGTGTTGATTCACAACTTGTGGATATGCTTATTATTAATCTCCTAGAGTCTTTATAGTTTAGCCAATATTGGACTCTTTCTTCATTGTTACCTTGTTAGCTATTCTAATGTTTTTCAATGTTTGTGACTATACTTAATCCTTTATTTTAGACATTTACACATTCTAAAGTTAGTTTGGTGTACTGTGTGTTTTTCATTTTTTCTTATTAATCTATTTGTTTTGCTTATTTTTCTTCTTTTGAGCCGGATGGTTTGTCATCCGCGATGGAATCCGGATGTTTGATATCCTCTATGAAAATATTTTTATGATCTTAGTAGCTCGATTTTTTTACTGGCTACCTAGATTTTGAGTCTTATTTAGTCTATAAAATGGATTTCGAATATAATTCTTTGGTTTATATTTTCATTTGCTCAATTGGCTCTTGCTCTTGGATTGGGGTTTTTAGTTACTCTATTGAACACCACTCTTTTAAAGACTTTGCACCAGATACTTATAGCTATACAAATTGGGAGAATTCATGTCCTTTGTTGCTTTCAAAGAAACTTTGGTGGATAATGCTCATTATTGTAAAATCATTCCATCTAATCTCGAGCTCAATAGTAGAAACTATTTTCAACCTACAAATTTCTACTTTCTCATTTATGTATATTTCTTCATGTATTGACATTTATATGTTGTATATTTGTATCAACTCTCTAAAAGATATTAACAGGGTCCTTAGACCTTGCTTGAACCGGGTGCTTGACACTCGCTATGACCATCATATGACATTGTCACATCATATGGATACAACATAAGATGAGGATTCTATGCTAGAATATCCAAGGGGAAAAAAGGCTCGAGGTTGTAGCTTAGTTGATTCACTTATAAAATAAGCATAATCATGATTAATTTTGTTTTGGAAACTATGACTAATACATCTAATATATAGCAAAAAATTCTCAAGGCCTTACACTTTGAGAATAAATACAAAAGAACTTATGAATCACTCGGGTGGATTATGGGTTTGTTGGAATAACCATATTAACATAGACCTCAAAGATATGTATGCTCATCTATTACTGAACTTTAAACCTTTAAACAAAGAAATGGTCATTACCGGTGTACATTGTCCAGCATAAGAGATAGATAAAGACGTGTTTTGAGATTATTTAATCTCGTTTAGCAAAAATATTCAATTATCATGGATCATTATAGGGGACTTTAATGAAATGTTATTCTAATAAAATTAGAGGAAGACCAATTTCTAATAACCAACTATATCGTCTTCCAAAACTCCTTGCGGAAATAGATTCCATAAATGTTCCTTGTGTGCAAAATGCTATCTCTTGAAAACTATGTCATAACAATAGTGTAACTTATGAAAGATTATATAGAGCCATAAGTAGTCAATCGTTCAATCAAATATTTCCTCAAAACTTTTCATCCTATGGTACTTTACAATTTTGGATCATGCACCTCTTTTATTTGATTCTCGCTATAAGAACACTATATTTGTACCACAACCATTTCGATTTCAAAAATTACTGGGATTTAGAGGAAGATTCCTACTCAATAGTTAGAAAATTATGGCCTCATCCTATTCAAGGTTCATGCTTTTATCGTATTCAACAAAAGCTTTCTTGAATAAAGACCACGCTAAATACTTGGTGCTAGAAACAAGTATGGTAACAACAATAATAAATTGTGGGCAAACGAAGGAAAAATTAAACAACTAAAACATGTTCTTCGATCACAACCTTATAATCAGATCCTCATCAGTCATATTAATAGAATGATTCATCAACGTGAGAAACTCCTATTTGGGCAACGACATTGGGGCTCGTTGAGCCGCAAAAACTGGCTAACTCAAGGTGATAGAAATTAAACTCTATTTTCTTCCATCATAGGTTGAGGGAAAAATAGCCTCCATGACCATTCATAGAAGAAAGAATAATTGGATTGATGACCATGATAAGGTTAAAAGCCTTCTTTTGGATTCTCTTAGCTCGCGTTTTAATAAGACTCACAATGTTTCAAGGTTGCAGTACTCTTCTAGCTCCCATAACTACAATTGAAGATTGCAATACTCTTCTAGCTCCGGTTTCTCAAAAAGAAATTAAAGATGCTTTCTTAAATATGCACACAAAGTTTTAGGCTCCGATGGTTTTGGGGCTAATTTTTTTTCAATCAAAAAGATATTACGTTGGCAATCCAAAGTTTCTTTTCTCATGGATGTTTCCCTCTGTCGCTCAACCCACGCTTGAACACAATTAGGGATTGTGTTATGCTAGAGAACCCTAACCACTTTTGACCAATTAGCCTCGTTAACACAGTTTACAAGCATTTCTAGAATATTGGTTAATTGTCTTTGCCCAATTCTCTAAAAATCAACTAGTCCAATTTAAAATGCATTTACACCGGACCATTCTATCCACGATAACATCTTTATTGTCTAGGAAATCCTAAATACCTTCAAGAAATCTAAAAACAAAACAGGTTGGTGTGCTATAAAGCTTGAAATGGAAAAGGCATACATTAGAGTAGTGATGAGTGTCATTTATGGCACTCATTTAATGACTTTTTAGTTTGTTTTTTGTTTCTTTTTATAGCTTTCTTTCTTAATAATTGCTTGGTTTTGTTCATTTGTTCATTACTTTCTTCATTCTTGCTTATTTTGTGTTTTCGTCCACTTTTGTGGATTTTCTAGTGTTTTTCCCTTTGATTTGTTCTTTTCCTTTGTTTGTAGGTTCACTAGTAGTAAAAATGAAATAGGCACCGCACAATCCGCACCGATTTTTGAAAACCGGTGCAAAAAGAATAGGCGGGATTAGGAAATAGAGTTTTTGCACCGGTTCCAACCAAACCGGTGTGAAATTATAGTTTCCGCACCGGTTTGAACTAGTGCGAATTAAAAACGAAAAAAAACCAAAAAAAAAAGGAATTGGCACTGGTTAACTGATGCCCTTTTAATCTTATAAATCCCTAACCTACCCCCCTTTCTCTCTCATCCGCCTTTATTTCTTTCATGCTCTCCTTCTCTCTCTGTTCTTCTCTTCTCTCTTATCTCTGTTCTTCTTCTGTGATCTTTTAATCTTCTCTATCATCTCTTTTCTGATCTCTCTCTTCTATTCCTTCTGATCTCTCGTTTTTCTCTTCCTTCTGATCTCTTGTTCATCTCTCGTTTTTTTTTATTTCTCTTGTTTTTCTTACTCTTGCCAACAACCAACGGCACCAAGCATAACAACCGTTGTCGCCGCCATAGATAATCAAGATTTGAGGTTAGGGTTTCTGGGTTCTTTGAGGTTAAGCTTTCGATTTCTGGGTTTTTTCTGGGTTTCTGGGTCATGGGTTTTTGTTGGTTTTTTCTCCCATTTTTTTGGGTTTATTGGTATTTGGATTTTTGTTGTTTTTTTTTTTCATAGTTTCTGGGTTTTGGGTTTGAAATTTATAGGTTTTTTTGGGTTTTTTTGTGTTCGAAATTCCTGGGTTTTTTTTTTTGGGTTTTTTCTCTGTTTTTTCAGGGTTTATCGGTTTCTGGGTTTTGGTTGGTTTTTCTTGGTTTTTTTTATTGGTTTTATTTTCTTTCAAAATTTCTGGGTTCTACATTTCTAGTTTTTTTTGGGTTTTTCTGGGTTTGAAATTTTTGGTTTTTTCTGGTTTTGAAATTTCTAGGTTTTTGTGGGTTCGATTTTTCAAGGTTTTTCTAAGTTTGAAGTTTTTGGGTTGTGATTTTTGGTGTTTTAATTGATGCAGGTAGTATTCGTACAAAAAAAAAAAAAATAATTACAACTGCAGCGATTTTACATAGAAGAAGGATTGAAGATTCAAGGGATTTTGGTGTTTTTTTTTTTTTTTTTTTTTTTTATTATTTTTTTATAAATTGTAAAATAACAATATATTTGATGAATATATATATATATATATATTCATGTATGTTACGATTTTGTTGTTCATTGGTGATTAATGTATATTACGATTCTGATGATTTTTTTTTTGTGAGAAACGTGTTTTGTTTCAGTGTGTTGATTTTGAAGTGAAAAAATTGGATTTTTTTTTATTTTTTGAAGGCATAATTGGCACCGGTTAACCGGTGAACCGGTGCCAATTGTAATGAAAACCATTTTTTGAAGGCATAATTAACCGGTGCCAATTGTAATGAAAACCAAAAAAAAAAAAAAAAAAAAAAAAATTGGCACTCACTTTTATTACCACTTAACCGGTGAGAAATATCTTGGTTTTTGGCATCCCTCAAATCAGAATCGGTTCAAAACCGGTGCTAAATGGGGGTTTTGAACCGGTGTTGATTACCATTTTTCGCCTAGTGGTTTAAGGTGAAGCTCGAGACCCGTCACGATTATTTTTCGGGTTGGAAGAGGCTCAAGATGCAAAGTAGAAGCTTACTTATGGCTCATAAAGCAAGATATGACTTACTCCAAGACTTGATGCTTGCGTTCTCATGCTGTGCTCTCATTAATTCATGGGTTCGAACCCATCGTAAACTTCATTTCAAATCTGGCATGCCTATTGACGATTATGAGGAGCGCACCATGTACATCACACACGCATCGAAGGAAAGTCCTCTCCTGCAACTGCAAGGGCGCGGACGATAGTTGCGCAGGCGCATAGGAATTGGATTACTGCGCCACGGGACATGCCGCATCAATTAATGCCACGCCACGATAAGGATGACACGCCGCGTCCACTACGGCCGCGACACGACAGTCTTGGTTTGCGTGGGCGCGTAGGTTTTCTTCGCGGGCGCGCCACCTGAGTTCTCTGCTTCCGTACCCTGATTGTCACGGGCGCGCAAGCTCCTGTGAGATGGCGCTTCCGGTTGGGTCTATTTCGGGATATTTTCCTTATTTCCTTTGTAGTTAGTTATACTATAAATAGCTTTTCTCTTTTATTTCTTAATTACGCAATTAAGCAATTCATAATGCAATTTTAGATTTCATTTTAGCTTAGTTGAGAGTTTCTCTCTCTAGTTTAGGGTTAGTTTTAGTAAGAGAGAGAAAGTGACGGATTTCAATGATGATTTGAGAGATTGAAGATGCAAGGGTGACAATTGTATTGAAGATCTTTTCAATTATCAATGAGCATTTCTTACTCTATCTCATCTTATTGTTTTCTTTAACTTCATGTTTGTTTGATTTAGTTTGTTGCTTGATTCTTGATTAGATTAGTTTGTTCTTCATATTTGGTTGATTCTTGATTGCAATTACTTGTTTGATTTGATCATGATTTTTAGTGAGTAGTTGTTTTGCTAGGGTTTGGGTAAAACTTATATGATTGATTGTGATTAATTTGGGAATTATGCTAATCATCCCCTTTGCTCATACGCTCTCTATTTTTTTGAATTTCTGGGTGGGATGCTTTTTCGGGTGAGTGTTGGGTTTTCGAGGGTGAATGGAGTGAGTTTCGGTGGTTATGGTTTTATTTCGGGGTAGATACGGTGATGTTTTGGTGGTTACAGTGGGGAATCGAGGTGGGTACGGTGGTTTTCAGGTTGGTTTTGGTATGGGTTTGTGGTTTTGGATAGCTCTCATCTGACGAATGCCGACATGATAGGAAGTGAAAAGGATTCTGTTTCGGGGTTTTTGGGAATCCCTCGGGATACAGGTCTTGAACACGACCGGATGGACGCGGACACCTGTAAAATAACGAATATTCCGTTTGACAGAATATTTGCCTCCAATGATCAAGTTAGTGACCGAGAACAAAATATATGTAGAGAGACAAAGTAGAGAGAAGTTGGTGCTTTTAGTCCTCTTAGAATGATATGTTTTAATCCAACCCTCCCATCATAAATAATTGGGGTATTTATAGGGGTGGGAAAGTGTGCCGTCTAGGGTTTGATAACCTAGGATGGCGTGCTCTGATTGGCGGCATAATCAAGTGAAGGCACGTGTCCATATGGGGCGTCATTTTGCGGCTTTCTCGGGATTTGGGCCTCCTGATGTAAGGAGGCCCTTTTCTCTCATTTCAGATTCTCTTTATGCTTGACATGTATCATCTTCCTATAGGGACACGTGTTGCCCGTTAATTAGACCACGTGTCACTATGGGATTAGACAACGTGTTGGGGTATTTTTACCCTAACATTTGCCCCTCAGAAGGGGTGACTCGTACCATACAGGCCGCCTCCTCTGATCTTTTACTCGTCCGGTGTCGTCTGAGTGTTGGGCGGATGAAGCATTATCATTAATGGTAGACTGACATTGCCGTCCGTCCATCAGAGGGATTTCTTCTTTGGGCTGTCTGCCTTGTTTAGTCCGCCTGATTTTACTTAATGGACTTTGAGTCTTAAAAATCGGGCGGACGGATTGTGCCGACTGCTTGAGGGGGACACCTGTCATCCGTTATTGGTGGAATGACGATTCGAATTCTGCTAACCTGGCCGTCTAATTTGACACCCGTTAGTGTGTCTGTACCTTTTCCCGTCTTATATAAAGGAGCGGTTTTTTAACCGTTTAGCTTCTAGGTTAACTTTTCGAAAGTTATCGTTCGAACTTCTGGGCGGGAAAGATGGTTTTACCATTTTGCCCTCATAAATTTGGTCTATAAATAGAAGTTGTTTGACTTCATTTGGATATTTTGGAAACTTGAGTATTCTAGATAGAAGTTAGAGCTTTTAGAGAGAGAAAGTGGTTTTCCTCCCAAATCTTCAAGAGCTTCGCCGTGTTCCTTGAGTTTGCCGGTCAGGTTTTTAAGCTTTCCGGTCAACCTTCATGATCTTCAAAGACTTTAAAAGTTTTCTACACGTACATAGGTAACCACTTGCTCTTCTTTACTTCTTCCATTTTTTCCTTTTACTTGTTTTATTTTTATAAACACGAATTGGCACAACACTCGGCTTCTTCCGTTTCTCCTCATGAGGCCGGTCGTTCACTTGGGACTGAGGAGTCTAGAGTGGACGGGGACGAGTCCTCCTCTCTATGGAGTGGGTCCATTTCTAGTGCGTACCAACTCACCCTCACCTATTCTTCTCTATCCCTGAAGTCGAGCATGGCACGTATGAGACAGACGTACGAAAAAGAGGCCGCCAGAAACCCAGACGACAATATGGTAGACCCTTTAGTCCCCTACGATCTGAGTACATGGACATGTAGGACACAAATACAACTACTGTTAGCGGTCGTGAATGTTCCGTGGTCGAAGTGACCTCTTTTGAAGAGTGCCAAAATCAGCAAGGCACTTCTTCCACCATGGAAGCGTCCGGGCGAAATTCGGAACCACACTTCTCACAATTCACCAGCTCGATCTTGATGCCGTCCGAGCTGCCAACTTCTAAAAGGCATCCTTCCTCTTCTCAGGCGGACGCTGGGGCGTCCGTCCAAAATCTTCAACAACCTCCAATCCAAACTATTAGGTCGGCCAGGCCTAGAACTAGCATCCATATTGTTGAACCGTCCGACCTGCCCCCTCGTAGCGCTCCTCCTTCTGGAAACCAGGCGGACGTTGGGGGAAGAAAAGATAAGGGCAAAAGGCCCTTGGTTCCTGAAGGCACCATTATTTAGGTGGCCAAGGATCTAGGGGAGGGAGCTCGGCCAAAGCTGCTGAGCTGGACACGGTGTTGTCCTCTAAATTTGGGGCCGCTCCTCAAGCTGCTGAAGGAGAGGCAGAGAATCCGGACGTCGATCACGAGGCCGAGGAACTAAACACTGATAATTTCAAGGACCCGTACGCCTGTACGGTTGGCGACACTGCCTTGACCTTCCTGCACTTAAAGTTTAAGGAGTTTAAAAAGTTCCTCCACTTGGGAGAAGGCTACGAAATCGTAGCGCCCACTCACTCTTACTCAGTGGCCGCCTGGGAAGCGGAAGAAATGCTTCAGCGTCTACCGCGCTGCTTTGGAATTGGGCCTTCGCTTCCCTCTTCATCCATTCGTTCAGGAGCTACTGGACGAATACAACATTGCTATCTTCAAGCTGGTGTCGAACAGCTGGTTAAACATTTTTGGCTATCTGATGACGTGCCTTCGGCAAGGCTTCAAGCCGGACGTCCCAGTTTTTTGTGATATGCATTCCATGTCCGCCTAGATGTTGGCACGGACGGGTGGTTTATTCTGAGCACTTAGAAAGATTATATAGTGGTGATGGATAGGCTGTCCAAGTGGCGAGACTAGAAGCACCGATTCTACAGCAATAAGACAAAGGATGAAGAGTTTAACTTGCGGATGAATCGGTTCAATGCCGATCAAATTCAGCTCGGCCGTGGGCAGCATAGGCCTAGCAAGCCACCCGTCCACCCTGACTACATGCACCAGCTAGACTACTTCGGAGTCAGAAAGGTAGTCAGGGATGGGAAGACAGTGACCACGCCGCTTAATTGGATTCCTCTGGCCGTGTGGCTTAGGAACCCAGTTTTAATGTCGGCCTGTAGCCTGTACTAGAACTACCCTCAAGGTGGAACTTTGTGACTTAGTTGTTCAAATGTTATTTGTAACATAAAACTATTCTTACATTTTTTCCTCTTTTTCTCCCCTAGACATAGCTCTTGGAATGCTGGATTCGGAGCAGACGGGGTAGGTTGACAAGTCCAAGCAGGACTTAGTGCAGTACAAACTCCGCCAACAGTAGCACGACCAGGCTAAGGAGGTACTGACAATCCGTTCTTCTCTCCCTCGCTCTTTTTTTTTTTTTTTTTTTTTTTTTTTTTTTTTTTTTTTTTTGTGCCGAGCTGGTGTTGGAGGAAGAGTCCTCCCCCATTTGACTCGGATACAATTCAACTTGTATTGAGTCCGAGTTGATATGTTAGGAAAAATATGCTATCTGATTTCACTCGGATGCTGTCTTTTGTCTATGATTGCCAAGTTGATTGGTTGGGAAGGTGTTCCTTCTCAACTTTACTCAAACACTTGTTCATTTCATCTGACTTTATCCTGTTTCTTTCAGGGGCCACTTTTACTCCTTGGTCGAAGAGAAAGTAGCCTTCTAAGGACAGCTAGTTGTCCAAAGCCAGAAAGACAATAGTGTCAAGGGCTAAGTCTTTCACTAAAGCGGCCAAGGTCACGCCGCAGACTGCTTTCAAGCAATCTAAAGAAGAGCCATCCCTGTTATCACCTCGTGGGGTCTCCAAGCCCGCGGATCCGCAAATTGAGGCGGTTCACGATGAGTCCGTCTATGCGAACGATGGGGGTAAGTCGTCCCCAGCAAAAACGACCGGAAACTCGGCCTTGACTCCGCATGTCGAGGTAGTAGACAAATCTGAGTGGTAGAAAGCTGCTTCTCAGTCGGTCGAAGGGCAACGCGGCCGCACACAAGATGAATGGGATGAGCCAATGCCCCCTTCTTCATTCAACCTTCCATCTCCTCCATCTTTCTCGGACAGTAAGCTGAATCTTCGTACGACTGTTGACTTTTGTTTTTAAGAACTTGCTTGTTCACTCTAACACTTTTCTTGGTTTTTTGTAGACATTGCCGAGGAGATGCACATGAAGTTACCCGGCCAGTCGCTCACAGGCACTGACTGGAAAGCTTTTAGGGAGGCCATGCAACAGGCCGTCCCTAAGGAGTAGCGGGACAAATTCCACGGAATAAATGAGGGCTTCCTTAGCCTAATGATCAACTGCAGTACCGAGGTAGCATTTCCTAACTTCCCATGGCTTATTTTTGCTTTCATACTTAGATTATTTTCCTAGTTTGCTTTTGCTGACATGTTTCCGTCTGAAAATGCAGATCTTCCTCAGGCTCAGTGCCTTCCTATATTGGAAGGATAAGGAGAATCAGAAGATTAAGGCGGCCTAGGCCACCATCAACCAGCTATAAGACGAGAACACCGGCAACCTGGCCCTACAAAAGATCCATTACAAAACGACCCTTAAGGCTCTCTCCGAGAAGTCAGCTCGGCAAAATGAGGACATCGTCAAGATTGGCGATGCACTACAACGAGAGCAACTAGCCAAGCAGGCGCTTCAGCTAGAGCGGGACGAGGCAGTTGCAAATGCCTCTCAGTGGAAGGAGGGCTTTGAAGCCTCCGAGAAACTGAAGAATGAGTTGACCTCGTCCCAAGAAGCTCTTCAGACGACCCTGGATCAAGTAGACTCCCTCAAACTTGAGGTTTTGCGCTAGAACAAGTATATTATGGACTTGTCCGAGCAGTTGAAGGCCCCTTGGCCGATAGATCCATGGAGGTCATCCGTGTAGAGCATAGGGCCGAGGAAAAGCTAAAGAGCCGCTTCTACAAGGCCTTCTCCGTGATGGTCGAGGAGGGCACGACAACCTACTATGAGGAGCGCTTCACTAAGCGTCTCAACTACGTCTGCCTTAAGGAGGAGGCGGAGGCTGTCAGGCAATCCCCTCCTATTCTTGATGAGACTTCCTCTGACTCTGAAGTCGAAGAAGATGATGATGAGGAGGAGTAAGAGTCGACTGGTGAGGAGGAGCCGGCCGAAGAGAAGCCCGCTGACGCTGCATCCGGCGATGGGAAGCCGGTCGAGGAGGAGCTTGCCAATGATGATAAGCCGGCTGAGTGAAGAGCTCAGGTCTTCTAGCAACTATTTTGAAGCTTTCTGAAATTCAATTTTATTTTCTTGTTTTTGAATAATCTTATTTCTAGCCGCCTGTTTTGAGCGGTCTTGTAATATACTCTCTTTTTATTTTTGCCGTCTGTTTTGAACGGCTTTAATTTATGAAATTTTCTTCTTTCATTCATACTTTGCATTTTTTGAGCAATTTTTCATGCCTTATATTTCTGCTTTTGCGTACGAATGCTTTTACTGGGGGTATGCCCTTTTATTTGGCTTTTGCCTATTCCATACTCAAGAAGGTTTGATTAACTTAGTAGATTTTATACCTTAAAGTGTATGACGACTAGTAAGTTAATCTAATCATAATAATGATTGCGTTGGGACTAGTTGAATGTCGAATCAATTTCAGTTAGTAGGCCGCTTTATTAGCTTGTACCGAGCTCCCCTTTGATACTATCCCTCGGATGCACTCATGAAATTTCAAGTATTATCTCAACTTGATTATTTCTAAGTATTTATTGGGCTCGGACGCCTAGGTGTGCCCTGGCCTTTTGGGTAAAAATACCTTAGGCAATTTTCGGGTTACCGTATGTTTCATCCGTTCAACCGTTTTAGGACCGGACGGAGTGATTAGCCATTTTGACTTTTATGGCCGAGTTGCCTAACTGCGGGATGCCCTTGCTAGGCATTTTACTCGGCCATCTGATCATGCCCCTTTAGTGGCCGGGCTACTGTATTGCAAGCAGCTTCGATTCTCTTTTTGGGCGGCATTACTTATTCAGCTCTGCCTTTCTCAGGGGCTGAGCTGCTAAGTTGCAAGCCACCTTTGTAATTATTTTTAGCCGGCATTTCTGCTTAACAATAAGTAAACGTACAAAGTAAATGGCAAAAATAACAATGTTTAACTTTTTCATTAATATTGTCAAAATTACATTGTTTTTGGCCGTATGACGCTAATTACATTACTCGGCCATTTAGGCCTAGTTGTATATACAACTTTTGGCTAAGTACAAAAATTTATACATAATATTTTTTCAGATTGTCCATATTCCACGTACGAGGAATAGGATGGCCATCCAAGGCTTCGAGACGGTATGTACCATCTAGGACTTCTTCTTTGATCCGGTATGGCCCTTCCCAGTTCGGTGTTTATTTGCCATCCTCATTTGCCCAGCCTATCGCTTCTATCTTTCTTAAGACCAAGTCTCCAATCTTAAGTGGCCGCTTAAACACTTTACGATTGTTGGGTTTCGAACAAGATGCATATTAATTAATTAACAATTAATTGAAAGGAATGGTGTCCTTCGAACAAGATTATTATTCCGATAGAAGGATCAGAATTATTAGAAAGCTAATTATTCAATGAGGTGAAGTGATCGCAATGCCTAGCTGGAGGCCGCTTCCGATCAGTGATATTAATGCCTAATTAATATTACAACTTAATCTTGACTGAACCCTTCGGGTCGCACCCAATCAAGTAACCGAACCGAAACTACAAATTAATCCGAAGTATTAAATGAGTCATTTGAGTATTATGAACATAAACGTCGGATTCTGAGCATAGAGCGTCAGAAACCGAGCATCGTAAGTCGAGTTGAATTCAGGAATCGACGAGAAGAGAAATCAAGCAAAATACAAGTCATCGCACGAGAAAATCCTGGCCTCGAAGTGGACTAGCCAATCGAGGGCTAGGATGGCTAGCATGGCTAGTCAGAACCATTGCCACAAGCTCAGCATGCCTAGCATGGCCGAGCCAGCCATGCGTGCAAGGAAAGGCCTGCCAAGGGCCAACCGCACATGCTAGGCATGGTAGCAGCCAGCCCGAACCATTGCAAGCAAGGCTAGCAGCACATGCTAGCTGAGCCTTGTGTGCGAGGTGGTAGCATGCTGGGTTGCGCCTAGCACAAGCATCGCATCAGCAGCAGCAGCACGCTATACGTGCGTGTGCTGGGGCTGTGCGTGCTTGCGTGCTGGGCTGCACCTAACACTAGCATTACAAGAAAAGTGACTTTTACCCACATAAATTTACCAACAAATAATATATATGTTGGTAATAATTAGAATTACCAATAGATATATTGTCAATTGGTTTTAATCAGTGAGTCCTCGTACCATACAATCATAAGCCAACAAAAAAAATTTAGTCTTTGGTTAAATAATTTAATACCAATAAAATTTTCACCATCTCTTATTTCTATTGGACTAAGTTTACGGTACCCGCTCTTTTTTTCACTTTTCCCTTTTCAGCGAAATTTCCAAAAGACCAAAACAAAATTTGTACTATTATGCAAGTACTAAAGTTTGAATTTAATATTGTTATCAAAAGTAAAAAAGCAATCTAGAACTATCTATCATCTTATTCATCTATATGCAACTCTAGCAATTTTTTTTAATCATCTTCTATTTCTAAGATAACCTCTTCCATGTAAATAATCCCTTTGAGGAATGTGAAGCACCACCATTTTTATATGGAGAAATTGATGAAATTTTTTTGAACCCTCAGCAATTGCAATATGTAATCGAAGCTCACAACCGCAAATTTCCCATTTCAATTTGTTACTTCCCAACGATAAATCTATTGTAAGTTTTGTTAAGTAATAATATTCATTGTACATGAAATTATTGTCTATTTTGAAAAGCCATTTTTGTAGGGAAATTCTTATTAGTTATGAGACGTATATGTGGTTTATTTTCAAGGAAAAATGATTTGGGGTATTATATTTTAGAGTATAAGGGTTAGAAAAGTGTATTTAATAGACTAATTATTCACTGAAATCAAGTCTAGTAGTATGTTTTCTCCATTTTCTTTCGGAAATTATAATAATTTAGTTTAGTATCCTGGAATTTCTTCATTTGTATAGAAAAATTTATTTGCAAAAAAATCAAAAATTAACATTATGAAAGGGTGTTGGGTTGTATATCACAAATTGCTTTTAGATATTTCGCTAATTATTTGTATGTGCTTTTTATTGCCTGATTATTTTATAGATAATTTTGTTGTTGATGTTATTTGTATATATGTGTGATTGAATTGTGTGACCTAGGGTTGAGATATGGGTGGTTGGTTATGGGTTAAGAAGTAAGGGGATGTACAAGGGGGTTTAGGTGATGTGACTATGGCTATCAGAGAGGGAATGAGAGGTGTGTGTTTGGTGGGAAGCTAGTGAGGTGGGGTTGTGTGGTGAGATGAGAGGCTTGCACTTTGATGCTTCGGTAAAAGGTAAGACCGAATCCCATAAGTAGAGCAAGAGGTGTGTTGTGTTTAGACCTGTTTGGGGTCTTACTGGTGAGGAGTCTGTTAGAATCCTTGTGTGTAAGTGAAGGGGCTGTAGTTGTGAGGGCATTAAAGTTGTGTGGAATGCTGGGCATAAGGAGAGGAGTTGACTATTTCTCTAGATTCACTTTATCGTGACTCAACAGTGAAGGTGAGGGAGTGTGTTGATGAGTGGGAGTTGGAGGAGTGTAGTAGCTTTGCTATGTGCCAATTCATTTTCTGTGTATCATAGTCTAGCTTTTTAGTTATCAAAAAGACTTTGATATTTACATATTTCTTTTTATACAACTTTGAACATACTTATATAAAAAGAGCTAGAAAGAAAACAGGTACCAATTTATAAAAAAAATCTGAACGTATGTAATAAGAAAAGACTAATAATTTACCAAAAAAAAAAAAACAACAGAAAAGACTAATAAAGCAAAAGTTATGGATAAATGAACAAGTATTGACATACCTTCAATACTTCATTAAATAAAATAAAAAAAATAATGTGACATCGATATACATGTAAATATATAACATTTATTGATATATGAATAGTTATCTTAAGTGACTAAGTGAGTGTTATATGTGAGTGCATTGGAACCTAATTATTTTTTCCAAGGCTAATCTTATAGATATAATCACGTATAGTTAATAATTAATATTCCGTTTAATCTTCAATTGTTACATTGTCTATAATGACTATTTTCTTAAGAATTACTTTACCTTTTGTTTGGGTTATTACTAATGTTATATCTATTTCCACTCACATTAGTTATAACTAAGGTTATTACTAACTATTTTCACTCACAAATTTTTAACTCTAATATCTCTTAATTACAATTTTAATACTTCAACCACTTCACTTACATATTAATACATTAAAGTCAAGTAAACTATCTAAATTATAGGCCAATCGAAGTTTAACAACTAAAAAAATGGATGGAGTATTAAAAAGAAACAATGTAGCCACATGTGAGAGGGTAAAGATAAAAGAGACTAATTAACTGTAATTTCTAAAGTGTTGTAAATTATATGCAAAACTGCGTATAAAACTAAATTGTTCTCCCTCCTTGTAACTTATATTGGTTTCATGTTTTTGAATTACTCTCAAGTTATCATCATCTCTTACAGTTGATCATCAAAAAGTTGAACTCATTCTGCAAAAATATTGTCCTCTTGGAATTCATTGAAAGAAGTTGAGTAAAATTACTCTCGGGACCATTGACCCTGAATAAAAGGTATGTCTTTAAAACTGAATGAAATTTGTAACTTGACATTATATAAAATTTTATGTCACTTATCATAAAATTTAAAATATCCTCTATTTTTGCATGCTTAGTATTCTAGCTTTTCTTGTTTAGATAAACTATGTGCTTCATGTGTTAGTGAGTTTAATTACTTAAAACTTAATAAAATTGCAGGATTGTCAACATGGATGTGTTTGCTGATAAAAGTTGGGTAAAATTAAACAGAGCACATGGTCAGTACAGAGTGGCATTAACTTCATTTTTAGATCATGCATTTGCAACAAATGTAATTGAAAACAAGATTGCTTGTCCATGTAGAATTTGTGCAAATCGTTTGTATCATGAAAGGCACATAGTGATGAAACACATGATTATGAAAGGAATGGATGTTGATTATTAAAAATGTATTTGGGTATTTCAAGGAGAATTAGGGTTTATTATTGACGATGATTTCTTAGAGGGTAATTTGAACAATGCTAGTGGTAATGTAAGTGACGATGGTATTTTTAAAATGGTAGAAGATGCATTTGACTTTCATGAAACAACAACTAATTCATCTAGCATAAATGCTGAAGCTGAAGCCTTTTTTAAGTTACTCGAAGATGGTGGACAACCATTATATGATGGTTGTGAAGAGTTTAGCAAGATTTCTTTTATTGTTAAGATGTATCATATAAAATGTCTATATGGTGTGACAGATGTAGCATTTGATGCACTAGTCAAACTTTTTAAAAAAGCTCTTCCTGAAGATTCTGTATTGCCAAACTCTTTTTAACAAATGGAAAATATCATTAAAAAGTTGGTTTGGATTATAAAAATATCGATGTATTCCCAAATGATTGTGTGCTTTTCTGGAAAGATAAAATTGGATTAATAAATGCCCAACTTGTGATGCATTGCGGTGGAAAACATCAGATGATGGAACAATCATAGAATTGGCTAATGGTAAAAAGGTTCCAGTAAAGGTATTGCGTCACTTTCCCTTGATCCCTAGGCTGAAAAGGCTCTTTATGTCGTCCTAAACATCTCATCTCATGCGTTGGCATGCTGAACGGGAAAAGGATGGCAAGATGAGGCATCCCGCTGATTCATGTGCATGGAAAGAATTTGATGAGAGGTATTATGATTTTTCTAAGGATCCTCGAAATATAAGTCTTCGCTTAAGTAGTGATGGTTGTAATCCTTTTGGTGTGATGATTAACCAATATAGTATATGGCCGGTAGTTTTGATGACTTATAATTTACCTCCCTGGCTATGTATGAGACAACCATATTTCATTCTTTCATTACTTATACCAGGCCCCAAGGGTCCAGGAAATGATATTGATGTGTTCTTAGAACCCCTAATTGATGAGTTAGAAATACTATGGAAGGTCGGTGTAGAAACTTATGATGCCTCAAAATGAGAAACATTCATATTACATGCAGTTTTAATTTATACCATCAACGACTTCCCTGCCTATGGTAACCTCTCTGGTTGGCCAACCAAAGGTAAACATGCAGGTCTGATGAGTGACATTTATGTCACTCTTAGGGGTAGTATTTAGGTCTTTTTCCTCTTATTTTTCTTAGGTTTTCACCTCATTGTCCTCTTATGGCTTCTTTTTGTGTTGATGAAAAGTAATGCTTATTTTGATAATCTTTATGCATTATTTTATCATCCCCATGCTCTCGTGAACTTTGGTATCTTCTGCAGGTTCCGTGACGGTCCTATGCACGGTGGGAGGCCCCTTGGCCAAGCATGGAAGCCATGGACAAAGGCAAGAGGAGCAAAAGGGAAGGAGAGGAAGCAAGAAAAGGAAGTGCAAGAGGAGGTGTGGCCGAACCTCTGGAAGGTCCGGTCGAACCTTGGTGTGGTCAAACTTTTCAAAAGTTCGACCGAACCTCCAGGGTGCAGTGAAGGCAGTGTCAAACCTGTTTTCAGCAATTTTGCAGGAGAGGTCGAACCTCAAAAGTTCGACCAAACAAGGATCAGGGAGGTTCGACCGAACCTACACAGGGTTCGACCGAACCTACCCTGAGTCCGACCGAACTTACCCAGAGTTCGGTCGGACCTTTTCCCGATCTCAGCCAATTTTGTACGGACTATTTAAGGTCCTTTTGTGATCGTTTAAAAGCAGGGGAGAAGCAGGACAGTAGCCTAGTTTTCAGAAACCTCCCTTAGTTTGAAACATTCCTTAGGATTAATTTAGCTTAGTTTTCATCAAATCAAATCATTGTATTAGTGAAATTCAAGAATTATTCTCAAAGTTTGGCAATTTGTATTCAACATTTGAAGCTTCAATTAGTAATTTCTCCAACCTTCTTCCTTTTAATTTCAGATTTTATTTGGTATTTGCATGTTATTTAAATCTTCCTAGTTCTTGGTAATTTGTTATTGGATGATAGTTATTTCAATTGTTAACCACTTTTCCCCAATTATTGAAGTATTTAGAACCCTAATTCTTGATTGCATGTTGATAAATATGAGTTGTGAGTAGTCTTCTTGCTAGGGGTTGGGTGAAGCTCGACCTTTTGGGTTAACTATGCAAATGTGGGAGAAGCATTGATGTTTGAATTGCAATTAAATTGATTATATGAGATTGCTTGTTAGTTCCTCATGATAGGTTTAGCTACCCTTGACTAAGGAGCTTGATAGTATGATATGCCTAATTTGACATGGAAGTGTAAATTGAGTACGTCATTACTTATTGTAATTTGATTATGTATCGTCTATTGCTAAACTAATGAGGAATCTAAGTTTAGTAGTGAGAGTTGTTTTCTAATTGCATGAGGTTGATTTTACATATAGTCCTTGCTATATCTTGTCTATTTTACTCCCCGTTTACCTATTTGCCTTGGTTGAGTGGATCTCATTCCCTAGTATCTTTAATTCATTGATTTAGAACCATAGTTTGTTTGTCTTCTTGACGAACCCCAATTCATCAATTGACTTCGAGTTAGCTTAAGTGTAAAGATCTTTGGCAATCATATCCCGTTCCTTGTGGACCGAACTCTTACTTGTCATTATGCTTGGTTTGTAAGGTGTTTGTTAATAAATGTGTTTGATTGAGTGTGGAATGTACGACCATTCCAACGCCCATCAAAATGGCGCCGTTGCCGGGGAACGGTGTTGTTGATAGCTAATTGATTACTTGAGTCTAGTTCACCATAAAAAAAAAATTTTCAAAAAAAAAGATTGTTTCTTTTTGGCTACACTTGTAGCCTTGGTACTAATTGCGTTTGTTGAGAGTGTATGCGCAGAACTCATAACAGGATCTTGGTACCTTACGATCCCGAGATTGAGCAAACTTATAGAAGGAGAAAAAGAGCCGGTTCTAGGCCGTTTACTACTCCCCCAGCTAGAGGGACCAATTTCGAGGAGGATCGAGATCAAATGGGTGACGCGGAACCACCACCTCAAAGACCTTTAAAGGAGTTGGGAACTCCGGGAGCTTATAGAGCTTCAAGCGGCATTGCTCCACCCGTTACTCAAGCCAATGACTTCGAGATTCGGCCCGCAATGATTAATTTGATTGAAAGGAGGCAATATAGTGGAGCAAAACATGAGAGCCCTCTTGCACACTTGAACGAGTTCGAAAAATATTGCAACACGATCAAGGTAAATGGGGTAACTCAAGAGTTTGTGAGACTAAAGTTGTTTCCTTTTTCTTTGATAGGAAGGGCTCTTGAATGGCTTGAGAAGGAGGTGAGGCCTAACTCCTTGAGAACTTGGGACGAGGTCACCACGGCTTTCTTAGGAAGATTCTATTCCCAAAAGAAGACGGCCGAGGCAAGAGCTTTGATCCAAGGTTTCCGTCAAAAAGCTAGTGAAACCATTTATGAAGCATGGGAACGATACAAGGAATATCAAAGGGAGTGCCCTCATCATGGCATTCCGTCATATCAAGTGCTTCAAATTTTCTATGGGGGTTTGAGCCCACAAGGAAAGACTAGCTTGGATGCAGGAGCGGGTGGCCCGATTATGAACAAGACGGAGGAGCAAGTCATAGAGATAATTGAGGATGTGGTGAGGCACCACATGGATTGGCAAGAAGGAGAGAGAGATTCTCTAAACAAGGGAGGAAATGCGGTTTACTCCGTTGATCACCTTAATGCCATCAACAATTTGACCTCCCAAATCGCCAACCTTGGAAAGGAGATGACGTCCATTAAGGCAAAACTA